TTAAAGTCCCCTCCATAATCGGACAACTCCATAAAATTATTCAGCCAAAGAGGAAGAAGAACAAAATCAATACTCAGAGCTTCCCCTTTTCCTTCTTCCTCGGCCAGTTCAGCCCGGCCGTCGACCGCTGCCCTTCCGCCGCACGCCACCGCCGGCGATCGCCTCACCTCTCGCGCTGCATTTCATATTTCGAAATCGTTTGAACAAATTCAGCACGATTCAAATCTAAAAGTTATCGAATCCAATCATCACGATTTCATTTTTCATTTCACGAGTGGTTTTATTTCGATTCCAGGAGGCGGGATTTTGCGGTCAATTTTTCTTTTCTTTTCTTTTTTTTTCGAAGGTTTAAGGAGAGAGGAAGGGGGCGAAATTCGATCGGAAAAATTAGGTCAAAATTAAAATCTAAATCGAGGGAATGAGGAGGCAAATCGTGCTGCGGTCGGCGCCGTCGGGGTCGTGCCGGCGTCAGCTGCTGGAGGGGTCGGAGTGCTCGTCTCGGGGCGGGGGGCGGAGGGCGGCGGAGGTGGCCGGGGGAGCGGTGGCGGAGTGCGCGGCGGTGTGCTGCTGCTGCCCGTGCGGGCTGGCAAACCTGCTGGTTCTGGTGGCGTACAAGGTGCCGGCGGGGCTGTGCCGGAAGGCGCTGAGGAGGAAGCGGCGCCGGAAGCTGATGGAAGCGGGGCCGGCGCGGCGGACCAAGTGCGGGTGCGACGAGAGGGAAGTTGGGGTGACGAGCCCGCTGTCGCTGGTGACGGCGGTGTCGGAGAGCAACCCGGAGCTGATGAAGCTGGAGAAGGAGATGTGGGACCAGTTTTACAGCGCCGGTTTCTGGCGGAGCCCCTCACAGAGGAGCGAAATCTCAGCCATCACTAAATAAATTTTATTTATATATTTACTGGATGTACATAATTTATATTAAATATTTCAAATTATACCTAAATATAATTGCATTATTATATATATTTTTTTCTCTTATTTGCTTTATTTCTTCTTCTTTTTGGGGTTTTAAAAAATAAATATACGTGTATAAGTATAGGGAAATGCTACTCTTGTTATTGAACTATTTTATTGAAGTTTGTAATTGTTACACGTCATGTTGATCTAACAGTTATAAATCCTGACAGAATAATCCGTAACAGGACTGTAACATTGCCGTAAATATATTGTGATGTACGGAGATGGAATATGCTATAAAAATCTTTTGGTGGCATTGTTACATTGGGAATTTTAAAAAGTGTACAAAATGTTAATATGACATATTTGGCTTGCAATTCTTTTAATTGAATTAGTAAAAATGTTGTCTTTCTACTGTTTATGCATGCAATTTTTTCAATTTTGTCACATTTAATGACAGAGTATAGTACAAGCATTGTCATGAATGTATCCGTGGACATCCAAATTTATGTTTGGCCAATCATTACCAAGAATATAAAACATAATGTAGAACTTTAGAAAATGTTGTATTTTAAGAAATAATTTTTGTTATCGACCGGGCGGCTAGAAGGCGCTTAGGAGCTCTAAGCAGGCTCGACAACAATTTTTTAGTTTTATTTTCTAAAAATACTAATTATATTATTTTGTTATCATATTTTATTTATAGTACATTAATATTATTGTATGGATTTATTATAAGTTGAGATAAATTTATTTTGTAAGTAGTCAAAATAAATAAAGAAAATAAGGTAGTTAATCTTAGTTTCTAAGCTCGCCTAGGCGGCTCTAGGCGCTAAGCGCAGGTCGAACGTCTAGCGAATTCTGAAACATTGTATACCTGAGTGTAAGGAAGTTTGTCGTCCCTTTTGTGATGGAATTTTTTTTTTCATATTTGGTGTGTGTGTCATTTCCTAATCTTTGTATTAAAGCGTTTATCATGCTTTGAAATGGTCGATCACACCAATTAAGAATGTTGTTAATTACTTATGTCGTCGTCCGCAGGAAATAAAAAAAGGGGAAAGTTTTGTAGAAAAAAAAAAAGGTTTAAACCTAAAATATTCTAACCGGACGTTCCTACCTGTTGAAACTCAACTTATAAAATGATAATGAAAATGTATGAATTTGTTCATCAATTAGAGTTCTTTTTCATAGTTCTCAACGTAAGTATTGTGATGTCGGCGTTGGTACGAATCATTGATTGGTAAAATAGTCAAACATTTTTTAAATTTTTAGAAACATTTCAAAATGCTACTAACGTACATTTTGGTGTTCACTCTTGTAATGCTCAACTTGTTGTAACACATTGACGTAATGTGGGGTTTTAGAGATATTTTTTTTTTTAGTGATCTTGACAAACACGACAAACTTGTAAGAAATATGTTAATAAAATGGTTAAATTATTATTATTTTTTTCATTCACGATACATTTTTTGTTGCATTTTGTTAGACATGTCATTACGTGAAAATGAATTGCTCAACTAACTTTCACACATATTTATGATATGTATCAACTCCCACTCCCACTGATGTCCCAACTATCAGTGTAAGACCTAACTCACGACAGCTCGTCGAGGAAGCAAAATTTTTGTTGTATGAATTGTTTATGAACAACAATCGGATTCGTGGAAAATTCGGCGTAATTTTCTTCTAATGCTTCCATGTCATCTTTTTATGGACAATAGGGACTGACTACGCAGGAAGCCAAAAACATTGGAGACTGGTGGGACGATAATTTTAATCCCCACAAAAATGCTAAGATTCAAATTGCAAAAGTGATAGGATATAAGATCCTCGAACACTACCTCACGGAGAATTTGATACTTACGATTGCCCGTGAACCAGTTAAGCAATAGAAATTTGAAGTCATAGAATAGAAGAAAGGCGCGCTGCCTTATCTTTTACTGCGTGAAGAATAAAATAAAAAGAGTTTTTCTCAGTTCATTTTTGAATTTTCTTAGGATTTTATCTATTCCACTTGTTTAACTAAGATTTTCAAAATTTCAAAAATAAATAAATCAAGTCATCAACGGAAACGGAAAGAGAGGGATTCGAACCGACGTATTGGATTGGTGGATGAATCATATTTATCATATTTCATGCTTGATGGCCAAGGAGATTTTCGTTGTTCTAGCTCAACAGTGGCGATTGAACAAACATTCAGTGAGGGAAGATATACGCTAAACGCTCGACGGTCGAGGTTGACATCACAAAACCTGGAGGCTCAAATGCTAATGAGTGATTGAAAGAAAGCTGAAATGAGAGCACAAACGGCCATGCTAACTGTTAAAGATGATGATGAAGAAAAAAAGACATCTGATTTCACTAGTACTGCTGGTACTAGTTGAACCACCGGAAATGAAGAGAACTGCGACACCTACAACTACGATTACTAGTTCGTCGGTTTAGTCCTACCGTCTACTTTCATCAAGGTAAGTAAAGTCATAGAACTTTGAGGACTTTGATTCTCAATGTCAGAGATACACATGCAACTTAATTGACATATTACAAGTTAAAATTATCATTTTTCAAACAATTTTTTTTTTTTTATCTTAATTGATATTTTAAATTATAATATATCAAGTAAGTCCAAGTCCAATTTCATTAACTCTCAATTGAATCGGCCCGAAACCTAGTTGAATCACCACAGAATCAGTAGTTCACTAAACCGACCCAGAACTACCGGTTGAATGAACTGGCCCATGCATATGTTCAGGTGTCGATTCAGGTTCCTCTAAACCCGGCTCGGAACCGGCAGTTCCGGCTCGAAACCGGCCCGAAAAACCAGAGTTTGGCCACGTCTAGGTTGGGTCACAAACCCGTAGTCCAACTGAAGCTAGGTTGAAGGCCCAACAATGTTCCCATCTTTTGTGGGAAACTTACATACTTAGACTCCATGTAGGAGTTATTTTCACATTTACGATCAGTTAAAATATTTATCAAGAGGGGATTTGATGGAAATTTTATTTTCACAATTACGATATGTGCTCTTTTGAACAAATCTCTGTTTCTCTTTCCAAAATAAAATCATGTCATTAATATGATCATTCTTCTCTTTCCAATAAATCCGTTCTCTCTCCAAAATAAAAATCATGTCATTGATGCAATCAAAATCGAAATTCAAAAAAAAAGGTCACTGCAAACATAATAGCTACAAATTTGGGCTGCACAAACTCAAAAATTCGAACGGATTTACAGTAAATCGGCGTCTTGCAGTTGAAAAAAATATCATCGATCTAGCATTGAAAAAAACACAGTCATGATTAGATATACTCTATATATACAATAGATAAACAATATGACAAATCGATCTAGCTTTGAAAAAAACACTGTCATGATTAGATATATTGTATATATACAATAGATAAACAATATGACAAATTCAAACATTGACGTAATTGAATCTTATAAAGAGTATAGTTATACAAAACATATACATTAGAAACACAAATATGTAGACACAAAAATATTATAGATTCAAACAACGATGCAAATAAACAGAGAGTATAATTAAAGTAAATGTATACATTAGGTAAACAAATCTGACAGATGAAGATGATGACGCTTTTGTGTCCTAGTCTTTCCCCCAATGTTACGATCAGCCGCGAGCCGAGCCCAACGATTACCGCGCGCACAACACAGGACCTTCCGCCGCCAGTGTCGTCCGTCATCGCTGATACGAAGCTCGCCGTCAACCGCTCTCCTCTAAAGATTACTGACGATTACCCTTGCCTTTAGTAGAGCCTTCAAGACCATCAGATTCAAACTTTTACCAATAATGGCCTTTTATTCGTCATTGACGAGCCTCGTGCAATAAATAAATAGGGTTTTCTGCTTGGTGTATGAAGATGATAGATGTAACAGAGAAATTTGGTAAGATAATTGTGGGAAGAGTGTTAGCGAGAATTATGATTTTTTTAGAGATAATTTGAAGTGACAATGGTGAATCTTGGAGGTTTGGAGAAGATGACATAGAGATTTGCGTGAGATAGGGAAGAAAAAGATTTACACGACCTCCAAAAAATATGCAGAGGGGAACGGCGACTCACACATGATTTATCATCTTTTTAGGAAACATAATTAAATAATATTTTTGGTAAGAGTCAAGCCATAATTAATGTTATTAACGTAAACCTGAAAAAAAAATATTGCCTCTCGTAAACTTAAAAATAAGTTAGGATGAAATAGCAAAGAGTGTAATTTTCTCATCTTTTGTTTCTTTAATTGGGCCAACAATGTTCCCCCATTTTCCACCTCTATTTTATCTCTCTCAATCGTGAGGTTTGCTCGGATGGGACATTGGTGTTAATTTTCGTCCTTACAAGAAAAATTGTTCATCGCTCGGTTTCTCAAATCGATGGGCACCCTTTTCAATTCTTGACCCTATTTCGTTTCTGGAACATCTCTTCTTCTTTCATGGAGGTAAATTCCTTTTTTTTTTCTTAATCAATAATGGAGGTTTTCTATTAAATGAGATCACAGTTATCATTGATGATACAATTTGACCGATCTGCAATTCTGGGTCGGCTTGTCGTTTGTGCGTAGCTGTGTGTGTGATGCGTGGGAATCTGCATTGTTAATTTGGGTTTTGGGCTCCCATGGGTTTCATGCCGCTAATTTGTAGATGAGGAAGTAGAGTTTCTGTTGATTTCTTGAATACAATAATGGCGGCTTCATGATTCCTGTTCAAAGATCACATTTTTTTATGAAAAAATAACATCCCATTAAATTTACCTAACATAATTTTGGTACATTCTTCTTACCCATCTGCGCATACCTATTGCTACATTTCCCTGATTGATAAAAACCTTCAAAATTGGTTCTTTTCATGAGAACTTTCACAAGTGACATATTTTGGTGGTGTTCTTTTGGGTAGGTTCCTGGAATGGATGAGGTCAAAAAGGCCGATAACTACACTACATCAGCTTCGGCTTTCGTAGAAGGCGGAATTCAGGAAGCCTGTGATGATGCTTGTAGCATATGCCTCGAGGCCTTCTGCGACAGGGATCCTTCCACGGTGAAGTGCCCCACAAGATGGATTTTTTTTTTTTTTTTTTTTTTTTCTTTTTAAATTGTTCTGTAAATGCTTATATGTTTTTTATGTTTTTGGTCTCATCCCTTGCAGCAGTGCTCACTATTTGTTGCTTTTGTAGGTGACTCTCTGCAAGCATGAGTTCCACCTTCAATGCATTCTTGAATGGTATATGTGCTAGTCTGTATAATGGTTTTTATATATAGTCGTCTACCTTGCCATATCGCTCTAGTATTTTCCTGAATCTTCTGGCCTGTTATGTCGGTTCTCTTCTTTCTACATATTCTGGTAGGCTGTACTGTAGTTTGCCGTGTTAACTTATTATGTATAACTTTTGCATTTTGTAATGCTGGAATGCCATCGTTATTTTTGCTGGTGATAGGGATATTCTGAATACACATGCACGCAAAAATGATATGTTACTAGCTACTGTACTCATGGGCTTGATATGGTGTTATGTATCCATTGGTTGAGTGGCAAATGAGCAAATCTATTAGGCAGTTAGCTGAAATGACGACTAGCACTTCCAAAATAATCTTAGTGTTTTGTGTAATGTGGAGTGTTCAAGTAGTCTGTGATTTGTGTTGCATGTCTGCCATTGTTTTCTGCCAAATTTAAAAAATAAAATAATAGAATAGAATAAGAAGAGACAGGAGGAAAAAAATATGTTTGAGAATTGAGATTTGAGAATATATGCCAATCATCGAGATCATCTTTAAAAAAAATCTATGAGGCTGATAACCTTAAAGAGAGTATGTCTAAAAACTAGCTGGGGGTTAGGATTTGAAGAAGAGAAAATTGTAGAAAAGCTACTTACGTGATTCCAATAATGTTCAGGTGTCAGAGAAGCTCCAACTGTCCAATGTGTTGGCAATCCATCAGCCTGAAAGATCCCGACAGGTTGAATTTACACTTTTGTCCAATTTCATATTTCTGGTATTTGTGGTAACAATTTTTTTTCTTATTATGATAGTCAAGAGTTTAGCCTACCCTAACTTGTTTGGGACTAAAAGGCTTTGTTGTTGTTGTTGTTGTTGTTGTTGTTGTTGTATGATAGTCAAGAGTTGCTCGAAGCCGTAGAACGCGAGAGAGATATTCGGCTTAGTCCATCAAGAAATACCACCATATTTCACCACCCCACCTTTGGGGACTTTGAGTTGCAGCACGTCAGTTGCCAATCCATATAAATCTAACAGTGTTATCTTTCTACTGTCTGCTTGTGTTTTTACGAGTTTTCCCAATGTCTTTGCAGTTACAAGATTTGGCAGCTGCTGCTATAAGGAGGACCCACCGCATAGTGGGAGTTAATGATCCTGAAGTAGAGAGCCGTATTATACAAGATTTGGCAGCTGCTGCTGCTAATAGAAGGGCCAACCGCATTACCCGGAGGGAGGGCTCATCTGCCTATACCCGTCCACAGTTCGTGGTTTTCTCGGCAAATCCTAATGCATCTTCTGCTAATCCCATTTCGACGTCCACAGCTCCTGCTGCAGTTGAAACACAATCACCTGTAACAACTTTGAACAATCCATCACATGCTCTAATGTCCTCTGTGCCGAGCAGTCAAATTCCAAGTAGCCGCCAAACAATGGCTAATGCCAATAGGTGGTGCTAATTATTGTCTTTTACTTATTATTTCTAGGAAAATCAGAGAAACTTCTGAAATCCAGAATTCAGCTGTTGTTGTTGTTGATTTTTTTTTTTT